GAAAGGGAGGTTGTACATGCGATAGAGATTGTCCCAGGTAGTAAGGTGCCTAGAGGACGAATCTATAGGATGTCTCCCCTGGAGTTAGACGAACTTCGCCGCCAGCTCAAGGAGCTCACAGAGAAGGGATGGATACGGCCTAGTACCTCCCCTTACGGTGCGCCAATCTTATTTGTTCCTAAGAAGGGAGGTCCATTAAGGATGTGCATTGACTATAGGGGCCTCAATGCCATCACCGTTAAGAATGCGGAGCCCCTAACCCGCATTGACGACCTCTTGGATAGAGTGCAGGGATGTCGGTACTTCACAAAGAGATCTGGAGTCCGGATACCATCAAATTGTCGTTAGGCCTGAGGACCAACACAAAACCGCATTTCAGACCAGGTACGGTCTGAACGAGTTTGTGGTGATGCCTTTTGGCCTATGCAATGCGCTTCGTACGTTCCAGCACGTGATGAATAGGATCTTTCATGACTACTTGGACAAGTTTATCGTCGTGTACCTCGACGATATTCTCATCTTTAGTAGGACTGTAGAGRAGCACGCYGARCACYTGAAAACAGTGCTAGGCCTCCTAAGACAGCACCAGTACAAGGTAAACTTGGATAAATGCGAGTTTGGTCGCACCAAGATCTTGTACTTGGGTCATGAAATTTCAGCAGATGGATTGAGGCCGGAAGATGCGAGGGTGGCCAGCATACGTGACTGGCCCAGACCTCAAACTGTTACGGAGGTCAGATCGTTTTTGGGGATGATGGGCTATTATCGTCCGTTTGTGAAGAACTATAGTACTATAGCTTCCCCATTAACAGATCTAACTCGACTTGACACCCCTCGGGAGTGGACTGAAGAGTGTGAGGCAAGCTTCAAGAAATTGAAGTATGCTCTAACGGACTATGAAGTTCTCAAACTTCCTCATCCTGACAAGCCATTTGTTGTGACCACGGACGCTAGCCAATATGGCATAGGGGCGGTCCTTGCGCAACAGGAAGGGCCCAAGTTGAGACCGATCGAGTACATGAGCAAGAAGATGCTATCTCAGAAGTTGGCTAACTCCACTTATGAGAGAGAGCTCTACGCCCTGTATAGAGCGCTAGTTCATTGGAGACACTACCTCCTAGGAAGATTCTTCTATGTGAGGTCGGACCATGAGACTTTGCGCTGGATCAAGACACAGTCAGTCTTGTCGGACGCACTCAAGAGATAGGTTCAAGCGATAGACATGTATGACTATCAACTTGATCCTATCAAGGGTACGTACAACAAAGTGGTTGATGCGCTATCAAGAAGGGCAGATTATCTGGGCGCGCTAGTAACCGAGTTTGGCATATCTAATGACCTCACTTGATCGTTGGTGGAAGCCTATCAAGGAGACCCAGTCATGTTAGAGATCATTCGTAGGTTCAAGGCAAAGGATAAAAAGACTTTGGACGAATTTACGATGGTAGACGACTTGCTGTTCCTTGATAAGGCAGGGAATAAAAGACACTGTGTTGCTAATAGCGAGTCTTTGCGTAGTTTATTTTTAGGAGAGTGTCACGATGCAACGGGTCATTTTGGCTATAAGAAGACAACAACAAGCTTAGTTCAGAGATTATGGTGGCCCTCTATGATGGAAGATGCAAAACGATATGTTGAAACCTGCCAGGTTTGCCAAAGGGACAAACCGAGGACTCAGGCTCCGCTAGACTGGGATAGAAAGGTGTTGATTCACAAATTGCCCAACGGTAGATCTGTTAGATTGCAGAAGTTTAAAGCTAGCAGTCTGATAGAAAACTACGGGTGCATGTGCGCATCATCTTTTTATAACTGTTATAAGCAGAATCGCGAGGAGGGCATGTATCTAGTATTTGTCTCTGAGAAAGGGGAGGCCGTAAAAACACCCCCAGAGATACAATCAGTCGTTGCTCAGTATTCATACCTTTTTGAGGAGCCCACAGGCGTGGTAGAAAGGGAGGTTGTCCATGCAATAGAGGTTGTCCCAGGTAGTAAGGTGCCTAGAGGACGAATCTATAGGATGTCTCCTGCAGAGTTAGATGAGCTCCGCCGCCAGCTCAAGGAGCTCACAGAGAAGGGATGGATTCGGCCTAGTACCTCCCCTTACGGCGCTCCAGTCCTATTCGTACCGAAGAAGAGAGGTACCTTGAGGATGTGCATTGATTATAGGGGCCTCAATGCCATCACCGTTAAGAACGCGGAGCCCCTACCCTGCATCGACGACCTCTTGGATAGAGTGCAGGAATGCCGGTACTTCACCAAGATAGATTTGAAGTCCGGATACCATCAAATTGCCATTAGACCTGAGGACCAGCACAGAACCGCATTTCAAACCAGGTACGGTCTATACGAGTTTGTGGTCATGCCCTTTGGCCTATGCAATGCACCTGGTACGTTCCAGCACGCGATGAACAAGATTTTTCATGATTACTTAGACAAGTTTATCGTCGTGTACCTCGACGATATTCTTATCTTTAGTAAGACTGTAGAGGAGCACGCTGAGCACTTGAAAATAGTGCTAGGTCTCCTAAGACAGCACCAGTACAAGGTTAACTTGGAGAAATGCGAGTTTGGTCGCACCAAGATCTTGTACTTGGGTCATGAAATCTCAGCAGATGGACTGAGGCCGGATGATTCCAAGGTGGCCAGCATACGTGACTGGCCCAGACCTCAGACTGGTACTGAGGTCAGATCGTTTTTGGGGATGACGGACTATTATCATCCGCTTGTGAAGAACTATAGTACTATAGCTTCCCCACTAACAGATCTAACACGACTTGACACCCCTTGGGAATGGACAGAAGAGTGTGAGGCAGCCTTCAAGAAATTGAAGTATGCTCTAACACACTATGAAGTCCTCAAGCTCYCGGATCCTGACCAGCCCTTTGTCGTGACCACAGACGCCAGCCAATATGGCATAGGCGCGGTCCTTGCGCAAAAGGAGGGGAAAAAGTTGAGACCGATCGAGTATATGAGTAAGAAGATGCCATCTCAAAAACTAGCAAAGTCCACGTACGAGCGTGAGCTCTATGCCCTATATAGAGCGCTGGTTCATTGGAGACATTATTTCCTATGCAGATTCTTCTATGTGAGATCTGACCATGAAACCTTGCGCTGGATCAAGACACAGCCTGTGCTCTCTGATGCACTCAAGAGATGGATACAAGTGATAGACATGTATGACAATCAACTTGATCCCATCAAGGGAGAGTACAACGAAGTGGTCGATGCATTATCTCGTCGGGCAGATTATCTGGGCGCACTAGTGACTAAATTTGGCATATCCAGCAACTTAACTCGATCATTGGTGGATGCCTATCAGCAAGATCCAGTTATGTCTGAGATCATCCGTAGATTTCAAACCAAGGACAAAAAGACTTTGGATGAATTTACGATGGTAGACGGCTTGCTGTTTCTTGTGAAGGCAGGGAATAAAAGATTGTGTGTTCCCAGTAGTGAGTCTTTGCGTAGTTTATTTTTAGGGGAATGTTATGATGCAACTGGTCATTTTGGTTATAAAAAGACTTCAGCTAACTTAGTACAAAAGTTTTGGTGGCCCACTATGATGCAAGATGCGAAAAAGTATGTAGAAACTTCCTAGGTCTGTCAAAGGGACAAACCTAGGACTCAGGCTCCGCTTGGGCTCATCAAGCCCTTGCCGATCCCTGAAGGACCTGGCCAGAGTGTGTCCATGGACTTCATGGGTACTCTTGTGACCAGTAAGTCTGGAAAAAGGCACATCGTAATAGTGGACCGCTTTACTAAGCATGCAAGACTGATCGCTATGCCAGAAACTGCTAAAACGGACTATGTCATCAAACTGTTTCTGGATAACTGGGTCAGGGATTTCGGACTACCTACGTTAATAGTAAGTGACAGGGATGTAAGGTTTACCAGCGAACTGTGGCAGTCGACAGCTGAACAGATGGGTACCAAGCTCCAAATGATGTCAGGGAACCACCCTGAGTCGAATGGCCAAGCAGAACAGATGAACCGGGTAATACAGCACCTGCTTCGGCATTATATTAAGCCAAGTCAGGATGACTGGGGCGAGAACTTACCTCTCGTCGCCAGCCTGTACAACAATGTTGTGCATAGTACTACTGGGATGACCCCCAACCAGTTGCACCTTGGTTGGAAGCCCAGAACTGCACTTGACTTTCTGCTACCAGAAAGACAACCCACTGCAGCACCTGGCAGCATAGAATTTGCTTTTAAATATGAGTTGATGCTGCAGCAGGCTGTTGAACAGATTAGGAAGTCTCAGGAGGCTATGATCGCATCCGAGAATAAACACAGACGGCCTTCTAACTTTCAGGTAGGTGATCGAGTCTGGGTAAAGTCATCTGAACTGGGTCAGGAGATGGGGATTTCACGAAAACTGATGCCACAGTACTTTGGGCCCTGGGAGATCTTGGACATTGTAGAGGATCAACCGGATGGGCCTTCATACATGACTCGTATTCCTGCGCACTTACGCACTTACCCTGTGTTCCATTCCTCTAAGTTGGCACCTTTCGCTGCTACTGACCAGTTTCCCTCAATGAGATCAATGCTGCCCCCAACCATGGATGGCGAGGTGGACATCGACCAGGTCGTGGAGCATTGAATGATGCCTGTTCCTCGATCATCAGGCAGAGGGCGCCCTCCTAGACCGAGAATGCAGTATCGTGTGAGCTTCAGACATCATCTGGATCCCAAGGAAGATTGTTGGTTCACACGAGAAAAACTCCTGAGAACAGCACCTCAAGTGATTGCGGTCTATGAAAGAGAACTGAAAGGGAAGATGCCTGCAGGATAAGAGACTTCTCAGAGGACTAACGAAGTAAAGGAGGAGGGAATGCGAGGATCTGGGTCCTCGGCAGGCCTAAGGGGCCCCGGTTGCAGTGGTGCCCGCCCTAAGTGAAGGCAGGCCGAACTTATCACAAGAGGCCTTTGACTGTCAATTTCATATTTTGGGGTCCAGGCAGTTGCGACGTGCCAGTTAGTTGAGCGAAACACAGGCCGAGCAACCAAGACATTTCCACGGCCTTCTGGGCCTTTCTGGAGCACGTAGGCCCTGAACGAGAAACACAGCCTCATACACTGACAGTTGGGAGGCCCAACCAACAGAGGCCAAGTAGCTGCAAAGTAGCACGTAGCATCCTGGGCCCTACCAGAAGCTTCTGGGTCCAGGCCAAGCCCAGCCAGGCTGCGAAGCAGGCAGACTCTTTCCATATAGGAAAGAGCTCGCCACTCGGAGTCTCATTCAGGCACTCGCATGCTAGCGGCAGCGCTGCTGGAGCAAAGGCTCGTGGGCTGCTGCTGGCGCTGAGAGGCGAGGTGCAGCACGTGCGGTCATGTAGGGAAGAAGGGCGTTGCTGAGGGCAGCGCCATAACCCAGCCACCATAGCTGTTGGGCTTGGACTATAGTGAGGCGCATGAGTGGTCTTTGGGTGGAAGGGAGGAAGACGTGGGTGTAAAGTCAGGGAAGGGTGAAGGATGATGATGATGAAGATGTGAGGGCACATACCTTGTATTGGCGATGGTCTGCATTTGGGCGACATCTTCAAGTTGCCGCTGATGTCTTGCATTGTCAATTAGTAGGCTGATCTTAGCTGTGTAGCGCCAAATAGGAGTGTGAAGGGACGGGACTCTTGTGTTGTTGGCGGAGAGAGAAAGCTCTCCTTGACATTGGTTTTCAGTACTACCAACCTCCATTGGTGTATTATTGGTGCAATGCTGCTCTCTGGACACGGTGTGACTATCTGGCTTTCAATGTGATGGTGTAATCTGGAATTGTCATCTTGCTGTTGCTCATTTTCCTTGCACAGGACTTTAGCAGGTCATAATTTAAAGTTCAAAGTTTGAAGTCTGAGTCCAAACTCTCTCTCTCTCTCTCTCTCTCTCTCTCTCTCTCTCTCTCTCTCTCTCTCTCNCTCTCTCTCTCTCTCTCTCTCTCTCTCTCTCTCTCTCTCTCTCTCTCTCTCTCTCTTGCATGTGCGCACCAGTCCACAACAGTAACGAGGGCTCTCTCTCCCTCTCCCTCTGTGTGTGTGTGTGTGCGTGTGTGTGGCGGCGGCGGGTGGGCAAGAAAGCACTCTGAACTGCCTAGATCTGCCCTTTTTTCCCTTTGCCACTGGGGAACTGCGCTCTGCCTCCAACAGTCTGCCCAGGATGCAAATAGAAAAGGGGTCGGTCCGGCCGCCCTGTACGGCCTGTACCGGCCCCAAAAATCATAGAAACATTTTTCAGGGGGCGCCCTGGACCTGAGGAACAGGTCTAGGGTGCCCCATTTTCTTTGTGAATTTCAGGGTTTTGGCCTCTTCCGGACGGGCCTCCTACGGTCCGGCATCCAGACACCGGACAGCAGACCGTCTGGACGCCTGTCCGGATGTCCGGATGGTAGCCATGGGTACGAGACTTCCGACTCTTCGCCCTTCCTCATTCTCCAATGCCCTTAGCCTGTCCATCACCCAGTGTCTTTTTTCAGTTAGTGAGGGCTCTCGGTTTTTGCCAGAGAAGTTGAATAGGACTGCATGATGTTCATAGAGTTCGTTGAGGGAGGGAATATCATGTTCCGGATATTCCCACACATCCACTTCCTCCACTTTCCCAGCTTCTCCTTTGATGGTTTCCTTCGTGACTTTGATTTGTGCTGATATGTGTTTTTTTCCAGCAGAAACTCCATTGCTCTCTGTCCGAACGCCTGTGGTTTGAACCCCATCGGTCCCCCTGACGCAATAGCTTGTAGGGTTTCCTGTGAGGATTGACTTGCTTGGCCTTGACTGAACTCAGTTTTCTCCTTCTCGTTCATGGCTCTCTGTGCGGCCCCAGAGTATGTCATTGCCATGATTTGTTGTCTCCTTATGGATACTCCCTTTGCTCCTTCCCACCAATCGTCCTTACTCCCACCACTCGCTCCTTCCACCTTTGCTCTTCCCTCCCTTACTCTTTCCTTCCCTTTATTTTGGTCCTTTTAATTTTTTATTTTTCTCCCCGTGTGTCCTGTCAGTCCCCTCACTCACGTCTCCCGTCACTCGTTCCTTCCCTTTCTTCCCGTGTCTCCCTTCACTCGTTCCTTCCACTTTTCTTCCTAATTTTTAATTTTCTTCACGTCTCTCCCGTTTCTTTTTCCTTTCGCCTTTTACTGATATCTCCTAATTTTCTTCCCGTATCTCCTGTCACTTCGTCAAACCCTTCTAGGTTTTAATTCTGGTATCTGCTCCGTTTACCTACCTATCCCTTGTTACTACCTTCCCGTCTGTTACCTATGTCGATGTCTTGGTTCCGCTCGTTGGGACTTGCTCTCCTCCCCTCCACTTCGTTCTCCCTTCCCGTCGTTGTTCCACTTCCTCTGCCGTGATTACCCGGCTCGTTATCCGACTAACGAGTGCTGGTTCGCCTCGCTTTCATTCACCGTACCCCTTCCGCCTTCTTCCCCTCCCTTTCCCTTGCCCTTCCCCCTTTATGGCGTGTCCTGCTCTTACCGTTCTCCCCGCTAAGCTTCCGCCCTGCCGCGATGGTTCGATCCCCTTCCCTTCTTCCCCGTGTGTGGCTGCCTGCCTCCGGATGGCCACGTCGTCACTTCGCCGGTGTCATCCCGTATTCACTTTGTCGCTCTCCCTCTCCCGTGATGGCGCTGACCCGGGTGTGCGCGCCCGGTCTCTATCAACCCCGAGTGTTTTCGCGGTGATTTAGCACAGCGTTGCGCGCTCCCCCTACGGAGCGTCGCGATTCCGCTTCCGCAGATGATTGACAATAACAATGATATATCTGGCGAATTTTGCAAACCTCTCAGTGGAACCTCCATTCTATTTCACGCAAAAAGATTTTTCAAGATCGCACTTTTTTTTTTTTGTTAAGGCCGAAACTTTGCAAAACCTTGCCTAGATGCCGTTCATAGCACACTTCCGTGATGCCTCACTGATAGCCAATCAACAGATATTAAAAAAAAAAAAAAAAAAAAAAAAA